GCATCGGCCAGTCATCTCAGTCAGTCGACTCACGGCACCTTCAGGGTCTGTGCCGTGACCTCCTGCACCTAGCCTGGCACAGTAGGGGGCACGGGTGATGCGTCGGCCAGTCATCTCAGTCAGTCGACTCACGGCACCTGCAGGGTCTGTCCCGTGACCTCCTGCCAGCGGGCGTTCGACACTTCACGTGGCCTCAAGGTGCACATAGCCTGGCACAGCCGCCGTGGTGACGTCACCGCGACTTAGTGGTGCAAATGTTGGTTGTTGTTGTTGTTGAATGTGGGGGTGGAGCGGTGGCGTGGCGGTTAGCGCCCGCCGCAGCCACGAACCCGTCCACCCGCGTTCGATTCCCGCTCACGGTCGACACCAGTGACGATTATGGGCCTCCCCTAAGTCGACTCAGCCTCAAAGAAGTACCTGGTGCGGTATGCAAACATCGCCACTAGGGAGAAAAAGGCGGCTGGGCGTGGTGTTGACCACCCACACCGTCGCGTGCCGTGCCGGACTTCATAGGTGATCGCTAACAGCACTTGCCCCTGGGGGGGGGAAATCTGGGATCTTTGTCTTTGTTGAATTCGTGATTCCCGGCCAAGTGTATCTGAAAGTGCGATTCGGCCCTCAAGGCAACCGTTCCTCACCTCTGACGCAGAGCGAACGCATCTCAATGCCACCCGCATCTGGAAGTCGACGCGGCACAAAAGGAGTGGGAGACATTCATTGCCCCCCCCCGCCCCCCACAATACAACGCACTCTCCTCTCCCAGCACCCGGGAGAGGGATGGAGGGAGAGAGATGGGAGAGGGGGAGAGGCCTTTTGTCGGATTTTTCTGTGTCAACTCGAGACCTCGCATTCTCCTCTCTCTGCCTCTCACTGATTGCCTCTTTTTCAATATTACAACACAACAAAAAATAATGATGACGACGCCTCTATTTTTGACCGTGATTGCGCATTGTTCCACCGGGTTTGTAACAGCATGGCCCTAGCTACGGGTTGCATTGTGGTGGTGGTAATAATAATAATATAGACTATAATATTTATAATATATCTATAATATGTTTATGCGATCTAACAAAAAAAAACCTCTAATATGGCTGACATTGGTCGCGAAAGTCTGCTGCGTGTGAATAATAATAAAACTCATTTGCAGCTCCATTGTCAATCCACGCCGTGTCGGTCACGCGAACTGTTCGACCATACTTCACCATGCCGGGCAGTGCGGGTTTGGTGAAGGAGGGGTGGGGGGAGGGGGCCCACGACCGCTTCAGGACATTCACTCGCCGCACCACGCACCACGCGCTCGATACATCGTGCTAGATACATCGTGCTCGATACATCGTGCTAGATACATCGTGCTCGATACATCGTGCTAGATACATCGTGCTAGATACATCGTGCGTTCACCCGTGGGGCGGAGTTGTTCATTAAGCGTAGGGGCGGGCTTCTCAGCGCCGCGCGCTTAACCCACACAACGGACAGAGCATTGCTCGCAGCGGCAATCCTCAAGGGAGGCCTGCTAAAAAACCCAAGTGGCTCCACTTGCATCGAAACTCGTCTGGGCGATGATGGTTAAAGGCGCAGGCCCTGCGATTGATTGCTCACACCACCGCTGGTGGAAGGGTACTTGGCCTACTCTTCCACGCTGGTCAGACGTCTCGGAAGAGTTGGGAGCACCCGCAACTTTAACCCACCGCACGCGATCCGCCGATCAACTTAACGGTGACGTCACCCGGAGTCAAAAATCTTATAATTTAGCTATAAAGTTATTTCTCACAATTGTCCAGTAGTTTATACCGCTGGATTGACAGAGGCGGCGATGGTGATTAAGAAATTTTAGCCAATATTCCTCCTGCCGCGCCGGGAGATCTATTCGAACCGGCGACCTCTGCGCAAAAAATAACCCCAATTTAGAGCACGCGGGGAGGAACAGCGCACGCGCGTGTGGGGACATCAGCACTGGGGAGACAAAGGTGGCGAGACCAACCCCACGGTGTCGCGATATTTACTACCTCGCCTGGTATGTGGGAGGTCGTGCAGTTCCATCACGACCCTGACGCCTGCGTGTTTGGAGTTTGCACGTTCTCCCCCGTGGTTATGTGGATTTTTTTCCGGGTCCTCCGGTTTTGATTACACGCTTTTACTTAACTCACTCTGTCTGTTGTTGTCGTCGTTGTCGTATCCTCAAATCTTGTAACTCAATTTTAACCCACTTTCCAATGTGGTATCGATTGCAAGCTTGGTATATTTATGTCACACTAATGACAATACCATATTCTATCTTAAAAATATTTTAACGATCTTTTTACACGCTTTCTATGAATTCACTCTGTCTGTTGTTGTCGTATCCTCAAATCTTGTAACTCAATTTTAACCCACTTCCCAATGTGGTATCGACTGCAAACTTGGTATACTTTTGTCATACTGATGACAATACTATATTCTGTCATAAAAAATTTTAAAGTATTTTTAAACAATCTTTTTACACGTTATGTTTCGGCTTGGGTCTAATTGTCTACGCTCAACTAACGTTGGCTGTAAATCACCACGGCCCCCTTACGTTATGGCAAGCCTCGGGGCCACTTCCTGGAGTCGTGGAGTTCTGCCATTACTAGTATGGTACATTTAATTAAAGCGTGTTTAATTTTCTTTTTTAAAATATTACTTATTTCACTCCACATTTATAAGCAACATCACGCGTATAGAGTATTTGGCTGCTGCTATACATTTCCAAGTGATGAGCCACTTCGTTAAGCTTTCATTTGTGGCCAGGTCGCTTCTGAAAAAAAGAGCAATATAGCTCAGTGGGCCTCACCAGATAAAAAAAAGCTTAGTTTTGTGTCCCTTAACAGGTGCTCGCTAACAGCTCTTGCCCGAGCAGAGAGAGCACATACATCAGTGACAAGTGGTAGGTGAACCTCGCCGGGGACTGCCCTACGTCGACTCAGCCTAAAACGACCTTGGCTGTGTGACCCTTGGCTGTGAAGACGAAGACGGCGTCGGCGTGCGAGCGAGAAAAAAAAACGAGAAACGATGCAAATGAGAGACGGCCACGGATGTCTGGGCGGGTCGACGGAATCGCGTTGAGTTTTTTTCGGCGAAGCACAAAGTCGAGGACCAAACGTCCCGGCAAAATCATGGACGTTTGGTAGGAGAGGCAGTGAGAACTTGGAGCCCCGCGTCCAAATCATCTTCGTAGCCCGGCGGCTCGATAGGGCCCCCAATGGCCCGTGGGCTCCGGTGCAGTTGCACCGACTACACACTCCACTTCCACAGATGAGGAATTCATCTTCTTGGTTCTTTCGGTAAAGTCACGTAGAAGGGAAATAATAAAATAATAAAAATAAAATAAAATAATTCTCACGACGTTTCGGCCACAACGCAAGCAGCCGTCCTCAGGTGAAGAACAGGTCTGTCGGGAACACAGCGTCTGAATGAAACACCACCAGGCTTGGCAGCGTATATTTAAGCTGGGTTGGAGGGGGAAGAGCGCCTTGACAAAATAATTTGCATATCAAGAGGAATTTAGCATATTTATGGGAAATGCAGATATGGGATTAGTCACTACTTGTGGAATGCGTAGGAGGTGGGCAGGAGGTTTCAAAGTCATATTATGCCCGTGCATTATGCAGGATTAGCAGCATCAAAGGGAGGGAGTAGGGTTAGGATTAATAAAGGGAAGGAATGTTAATAGTATGGAGCTGCAGCAACTAAACCACCATGTAAAAAACTAAAATATAAACTACATCAGTATCATCAGTATACTAAATATACTCTCCAATAAGCTGAGCTACTAACAGTAAGTCATACATTACAATTCTACGTCGCAAAAAATATAATATGCCTCCAGCTAAACTTTTTTCTCTTATTCTTAGGTTTACTTGATACAGCTGTCGGGCTGTGACGGTTCCACCTGAAGACGGAAGCTTGTGTTGCCTCCGAAACGTCGTGATTTTTATTTTATTTTACTTTTATTAATTTTAATTTTTTTACCTACGTGACTTTACCGAAAAAAACCTAAGAATAATAAATCCTTGCAGTCACGAAAGCTTCAAATCTAGATTTGTTTTCTCTTACATCACACAGATGAGGAATTGTTCGTTCGCGGTCAAGGCCTCCTCTTGAAAGAGAGCGATAACGGGAGCAGAAGTTACGAAACACTCGCTCGCCGGGCAGGGCTCACGTGGAGAGACGGAGAGGCGTGGGGAGAGGGAGGCGCATTGCATCGCAGAAAGCCGATGCGAGAGGAAGATGCAATTAGCTGGGAGAGAGCGAAAGGAGAGAGACAGAGAGAGAGACGTCGCAGATGTACTTACTGGCTGCTGCTACTGCTGCCATTATAGGTCTCCTTTGAGGGTTTGCTGGGTTGAAACACGTATTTGTCATCAGCAACAAATACAACGATAAACACATTACAGCTTGAATCAACAACTTTTTCCGGTGTTTATTTGCGTCGTGTTTATTGCCTCCGTCCTATTGGGGTTTATGAGATTTCAGTTGAGGAGGAGTGGGGTGGGGGGTGAGGGTGTGAGACAGGCGGAAGGAGGGGGTGGTGGGGGAAGATATATGAAATTTATTCCCAGAAAATTACTTCATTTTAAAGACGGCATTATTCGTAAGGGTGAAGGATTTGAAGTGAATGGAAGTAGCCATATTTATGTTAGCCTCATATGCCGTAGCAGTAGTAGCATCATCGTCATCATCATCACCAGCAGCAGCAGAATCAACATCAGCAACAGCCACAACAGCAGCAGCAGCATCAACATCAGCAGCAGTAGCAGCATAATTACTATCAGCAGGAATATCAGGATCATCCACAGCATCATGAGCAGCAGCACCAGTAGCAGCATATTTTTTAAATTTTTTATAACATAATTAAACTCAAATATTTGCTATCATATATGAACGCTCATTAATTTGCTGAAAAAACATCTTCATTGATAGAGGACTGCAGAGCTTGGGCAATTGTTGGTAGCGCCGGCTCACTACCTGGCTGCTGCTGCTGCTGCTCCCGCCGTGTCCAGCTGTCAATAGCCCCTTCTTCGCGATTGTGAGAGATGCAATTCGCACGAGCCACGGCGACGCGATACATACATACATAGTAAACAAAAGTAAACATTATTACAATTATATTTTTAATCATCAGCGGCATGAGCCATTGCAAGGCCGCAATCCTCAACCTTACACGATACAACTGCACGAGGTCGCTGGCAATGGAGACAAAGAAATATCCAGTCAACACGAAACGTTGGCCTCACGTTGTGCCAACCTTGGCCTCACCGGCTCCACCCACATGCCAACAGTGGCACAGCGTTGCAGTTTTGCTGGGTAGTTATTTCGCATCTCAAACGCTCCCAACGACCCAACCCCCTTCAACTGCAATGAAACATCGCAACACAGCGCGTTATATATTTTGCTTTATTCCATCTGCATTTATTGATTTCTCTATATATTTTTTTAAGTCTTATGGGTAACACCTGCTATTACGGTATACACTGTAAAATGAAGCCGTAAAAGTGTCTTCTTGGCTGACATTTCCCACGGTAGTCCTGAGCCAGCGCTGGCAATTCCACATTCCTATGGCGTGGGGCGAGTGTATCTGTCTCTGTTGACGTGCCACAAAGTGGTGCAATTATTTTTTCCGCAAGACGATCAAAGGCCCTCCCCTTGCCCCCCCCATGACGTGGGGAGAGCTCCATCCAGCAGTGGTTTCACAAAGGGGCTGGGCTGGTCATTCACATGCACAACCCAAAGGCAGCACAAAAATAAGATCAACATTTCTATCGCGAATTCTCCCTCGCATGAATCTCAACAGGAATAAATCTTACATGGCCCCGTGATATTAACGATAGGAATTCATATTTACAAATGTTAGCTTACAGTTTTCGCTATGTCTGGTTTTGCAAACCGAAGAGACATTTTTTTTCACAATATCTGCACGTAAACGGAGAGAGACAAAATCAACTAATGCTTGAAATTTTAGATCATTCACGTCATCCAACGCAGTCAGTCCACATGTGGAGAAGATGTTTGCATTGCGTGGGGCCATATTCCAATTGCCACACATGTTTACGCCAAGGTTACAAATGTTTGTGGTGCTGCGGAGGCAGCGATGATGCCACCGCACCACCGGTGCCAGACTAGGTGTACTTGTACGATTGTGTTGTATGATGATTCTGTTGACAGATTCTACACGGCGACCAAAGAGAAGATCTGAATGCAGATGTTGGGTGGTGGAAATCGCTATGGTGGTGGTAGCAATGATGATTGTGGCAATGATGGTGGAGATGATGGTGGTGGTGTGGCTCTTCTGCTGATCTAGCAGAAGGAAGCAATAGGATGAGGTGTCCGTTATTACCTCTGACCCTGACCATGATCTTTATGCTGGTTTTATCCACCGTATCTTCCTGGGATAGCACTCCATTGGTGACCCTCACCCTGCGGTGGAAATTCCTAATTCTCATGGCAGGGGCCCAATCTTCGTACGGTGCCACTGCTGTAAACTTCACATGAAGTGGTACTCATTTGATTGACCACAACACTCAAATGATCAAATCCTCTCCCGTCAGATCTCGCAAGAGAATCAGAGTTGAGCCTGGCAGGCACTTGGATTGGAGACTGCCAGCTGTTGCAGGTGTGGGTTGTGAGATGGGCTCGATGCCTTGATCCAGTGGTGGAAATTCCACATTCCCACTCGTTTCCCACTGTCCCCCCTCACCCCAATCTTCGGTGGCGAGTTGTTAACTACCTCGCTTGGTATACAGGAGGTCGTGGGTTCGATCCCGACACTGACGCCTGCTGCTGTATATTTGGAGTTTGCATGTTCCCCCAGTGGTCACGTGGATTTTCCTCCGGGTCCTCCGGATTTTCCCCTCCACGTTTTAGAATCAGCGCGCGTTTTCAGAGTATTTGGCTGCTAGAAATGTCCACGTGATGATAAGCCACTTCTTTGCGCTTTCATTTGTGATGGCGAGGTCGCTTCTGAAAACGATCTATACAGTTCAGTGGGCCTTACCGGATAAAATAAAACAAAATTAAATTGTGCGGTGCTGACACCACCCCACCATGAACCTTGGCCACGAGCCACCACTGGCAATGCCGTGAACGCAACGAATACCGCCACCGCCGCTTCACGACGTTATATGTCGACTCCACGCCGTGAGCGGACAACATAATTGGATGTGAAGGGACGGATCTTGTGCGAGCTCAGCCATGAAACGATGATTATCAAAGTCTGCTTGACCCATCTGAACGCTCTCGGCACCGCTTCAGATTTCCCCCGAGTGGGAAATTACCTGCAATTCAGACTTTTGCCCCGCTCATTGTTTTGTGTGCCCTCTGCGTGCGCGTGTGTACCCATCAGCCGGGGGGATTTCCTGCTCACGTGAGCATTGAGGCAGTGGCCATCTCCTGTTTACAGCCCTGAGTCAGTGGTGGATATTCCACATTACTGTGACGGGGGCAAGTCGCTCTCGAGGACAACAACTGTCGATGATGGACCGAGCCAACCTCAGACCAAGAGTTGAAAATTGCAACCTTCCGATTGTGAGCCACTCGCTCTATCACCGAGCTGGCCGGCCTTGTTACGAATGGATAACGAACAAGGCACGACCATCAGTCCCAGCCAAAGTCCTGTCCCACCATCTGGTAGAACTTGAGGTTGAACGGCCGATAGAATTCACGGAGCCGCTGCAGCAGCTCGGGCTCAATGTGCGGGTGTGGCCGACCCTTGCTGTTGCCCAGGCAGTGAGGCTGGCCCCAGTGATTCTCCTCTCCATCACCACCGGCCCACTCACCCCTCTCGTCATACTCATCGTCCTCCACCGCCTCCGCATCCCCGTCCTCCTCCCCCGAGTCCCGGTGCTCCACCTCGTCCTCCTCATCCTCCTCCTCGTCTTTCCGCTCGTTCTGCTTGACCTCTTCATCTCCAACATTGCCCACGTCAACGTCGACATCGCCGACATCTCCGTACGTCCAGCTCCCGCCCCTGCCACGCATCCGCGCGATCCGCCGTCCGACCTTCCTGGCGCTCCCGCTACCCCTGAGTCTCGCGCCTCGGTCTCCGACACTCAGTCCATCGGTAGCAGCAGCAGCGGCACCAGCGCCAGCGCCAGCAGCAGCAGCGATGCCTCCGCGTCGCAGGCAAGGGAAGCCCTTGGTGGCGTTGAAGTAGAAGTGCCTCCTGGTGACGAGGCGCGCGATGCCGAGGAAGTCCTGCACGCGCGCCAGCTCGGCGGCGGGCCGCGTCGCCAGCCGCTCGCCACTCACGAAGAGCATGCTCTCGCGCGGGAAGTGTCGCAGCCAGCGCTCCAGGTGGCGCGCGTAGAGGCCGATGCGCAGGGCGCTCCAGCGCGGCTCCACCGCGGGCGCCGCCGCCGCCGAGCCGTTGCGGAAGGCGAGCCGGCGGAACGGCGGCGTCCCCCGCGGGCGCTTGGCCAGCGTCTGCGCGTAGTCGGAGACGGCGCGCGTCACGGGGTCGCGCACCACCACCAACAGCTTGGTGCGCCCGCCACCCATGGCGCGGATGCGGGCCGGCGCCTCCCGCGTCACGAAGTAGCTCGGCGTCTTCTCCATCGTGATCTGCCCGGGCTCCGTGGGCGGCATGAGGCCCCTGTGGGTCGCGCGCACGCGGCGTTAATAATGATGATGAGCTGCTCAAACTAAACTGTGTTTTGTTTTACCGTGGTAAGGCTACAGATCGAGGGCCGGACACGACCCACGACCTCACGCTTTGTATTTTATTTTACCTGGTAAGGCTCACTGAGCTATGTAACTCTTTTTCTTTTTTACAAGCGACCTGGCTATCACAAATGATAAATCAACACTGTGACTTATCACGTGGACATTTCTAGCAGCCAAATACTCTGAACGCGTGATGCTGATTCTTAATGCGAAGGGAAAAAATGGAGGACCTGGAGAAAAATCATCGCAACCACGGGGAAAACATGCAAACTACAGATATGCAGGCATCAGGTTCATGATTGAACCCACGACCTCTTGTCTACCAGGCGAGGTCGTAAACATCTCGCCACGTTCATGAGGCGCAATTCATCTGGGGGTCTCTTAGCCACGGCGAGCCGGTGTTGCGGCGAATTATCGGACGCGCGGAAAACCGCGAACCCGAAACCCTCTCGCTGCTCCAAGGTCTCGCCGTTCAGGCGTCGAATTCAGAAGCGTTTAATAGTGCCACTGGATCTCGAGTTCGTGGCAGGATGGCGTGAGAGACGGATGCCACTCGTACGTCCACAGCGTCGAGCGGTGGTGATGACGGCATAGAAACAAACAAACAAACAAAAAATCAATATTCTTGGATCTTTCGGTAAAGTCACGTGACTTTACCGAAAGATCCAAGAATATGAATACCTGCAGTCACGAAAGCTTTAAATCGAAAATAATCAAAAACTCAAAAGTGTTGCGATGATGGTGAAAACACTCACATCAGTGCATCAAGAGTATAATGATTATACATGATGGGCATTCACAAGGCTACACGTGTATGCACGGCCCTTTTGGTGAATCCACTGCTTATGATGAGGGCCTCCCCGTGTTGCGTGGATTGCAAGAGGTGCGTTGCCACTCTGGCCAATGTGCCGTTGGTGACGGTGGGTAGAATAGATTACGGGGGCATAGACATATAGTCCAGCAGTGGATCGAGCTGGAGTGCCCTGTGCTCCCCACCACATCGCTCTGCTCGAGGTATGGGATCGACAGTTGCCCCATCACACGTGTGAGTATTCTCTGGGTGCTCCAGTTTCATCCCAACATGTGGGAACGCTCAACAATTGGCTGAAAACATCTTAATATATCGAGGACTGCAGAGCTTGAGAATATTATTTGGCGGGACAGGCTCACCACGTGGCTGCATTGCCTCTGGTTCCTCGGCAACTGTGAGATACAATTTGCACGATTCATGATGCGATACATACAATTTACAATTATTATTTCCATTGTAAATATTGTGACAACCTGTGTGTGTGTGTGTGAATGGTGGTCACCCATCCCAGGACAATCCAGGAGCTCTTCTGGTGCTTCGTATAGAACGGTGTGTGTCCGCACGCGAGGCTGCGTGGCGCTGTGATTAGCGCACTTGACTTACAACCTAAGGGTCACGAGTTCAAATCCCAGTCGAGAGTTGACACTGACCATTATCCCTCCGGGGAAATGGAGAGAGGCCCGACTTCCTGTTGCGCCATCAACAATGGTCAACCAACGGAGATATCCCCCCCCCTCCACTCCTCAATCCCATCCGCGCCACGGGAATGTGAAATTCGCAGCCCTCTGGTTCAGTGCCACCACGAACATGGAGACAATATTACTTCTTTGACTCCGTGTGTCGACGGTGTTGTTTGTGAAAACGTCCCACTGAATTAGGGGCTCTAACTCCTCCCACCGCCGAGACCCCAAACGTTGCTATTTTATTGAAAGTTGCCAGAGAAAATAGTTTTACTTTTAAATTTGTTTTATTATTTAAAATCTTCAAATTTCTGCACCGCCCACCCCCCTATTAAAATATCTCGATGGACCTCTGTAGCCCCTTCTTCGAAATGCAGTACTATTGACATCTGCTCAAATAACCCCGATGATCAAAATTCGTGTGGAGACCTTCATCCAGCAGCGACATGACCAAGGGCTGGTACATTTTTACTATCATTATTATTAAACTCGATTCTGCACTTTTTTTTCTAGTTATTCCTCCCAGATTGTTATTCCACCCCAGATCTCCCCGTGCATTTCTTAAAACCCTCGCACTGGCTCTGAATTAATATCACCCACCGTTCGATTCAATGATCGATCGACTCATTGGAAAATGAAGGTTTCCTTCAGATAAGCGTGCCACCGGTTTGTATTTTCTCTGCTAACACTCAACAGGTGGCTCTGGAGACTCGTCGGGGCAGAGCGGGAGAGAAATTGGGAGTCGGGGGGGGGGGTTAGAGAAAGGAAGAGCACGGGGGGGTGGGGGAGAGAGAGAGCGGGTGAGATGGAGAGGGAGGCGCTCCGTTATAAGCCTCTAAAGAATACAACAGCTCAGTTGTCATAGAGACAGATGCAGACTCGGATGCACAAAGGAAGAGCAAGGATGCACACGCACGCACAAAAAAAAGAGACAAAGACTTCCCCATTTAACTGAATAGACCCCGAGAGCAAGCGCTGTCGACGAGCACGTGTTCCTGCCAGCGATTGAGGGTGGTGGAGGGTGGTGGTGGTGGTGTTGTGGCCAACACCGCGACTCGATAAGCTTTGTCTCGCCGCTGACGATGTTTACACGCGGGCGGCAGATGCTACTTCTTTTTTATTTTCAGGCTGAGCCGACCTCACGGAGGCATTCATCACCGATGTTGGCCGTGAGCGCGGGGTTGAACTCGGGTCGCCGGGTTTGCAGCGTAGTGCGCCTACCACTGCACTACCGCTCCCCACACATACAAATGCCAGACTGTTGGGGCGAGTTCTGTTAGCGAGCACCCATGAAGGCCAGTAAGGCACATGGTGTGGTGGGTGGCTAACCCCATATGCAGTCGCCTTTGTCTCCCCAGTGCTGATGATAACACACCACACCAGGCACTCATTGAATGCTGAATCGCTTTGGGGGATGCCCATACATACACATACAAATGCACACAAAAGAGAAAATGCGTTGCAGTTAATATCTGCCGACGGCACTGAGCCAGTGGTGGAAATTCGACATGATCATGGCCGTGACCAGTCCATCCACACGCCTTCCCGTCTCCCCACCACCCGTTTGCCTCCTCCCGTCACTGCGACCTCCGCCCCCCCACCAAGCCCTCTCGAGTAAACGCGTGTTTACGTTGACGAATGGCAATGAAAACGCCGATGTACGCACATCTTCCATATGTTTATGCGCATGCAATTAACCGCAACTGCATGCACACATGCACGCAACCAAACACGCCGATTGATTCGCATATACACCGTTGCGTAAAGGCTTCCCCCCCAAAACCTCAATGTGGTCGGTCCTAGACGCTAGATGGCCATACTTCACCACGCCGGGTCACGCGGGTTACCGACCGCTCAAACGCAAAAGGGTGGCACTCGTGCCGTTTGCAAGAGTGGTAGGAAATTCCACATTCTTTCGGTGCGGGCCGGAAACTTTTATACCAAAGCCCCGAACCTAGCAACACGAGTTCGACTCCCGGTCCGATTCACGGCTAACGTCAGTGGCGGTTGTACCCTGCACTGTTCCTGGGACCCTCGTTTAATTAACCGGCAATGACCAGCCGTGATGCATCACACTCCACTGTTGTACTGTGCTTCTGTGCTCCAACTTCGAAAGTCCACGACTTCACCAATCCGTGTAGACCGGCGTGGTGAAGTATAGTTAAACAACCCCCCAACCCCGTGACTGACATGGAGACCTCTACCGCAGAGCATGGCTCCACGTACCGCACTCCCACCATTTGGCTGGCCACGATTTAGACCTTCAAATCAAATCTCTCTTTTTTTTCCTATCTTGTTTTCTACTGACCCGTTCGTATCGTGTCATCTTTGTCCCCCGTCTCGTATGCACAGATTGTGTTCACTCTATTCGCCTAAATGTGACGTTATTGTGTTAATGCGCACGCGACTGATTGTAAACCGTAATGGTTAACAGCCCTCTGTTAATCCACCGCTATGGTGAACGCCTCCATGTACACTGCATCTGTCACGGGAGTTCTTTGACCATACTTCACCACGCGAGGCCATTCGAGTCGGTGTTGGTGGTGTGGGGGCGAAGGGGCTCACGATCGGTTGAGATATCAACCGATTACCGATGGCAGCCGTGCCCGGGAATTGAACTCATTGCTGCCAGGTGCGTAGTGCAGTGCGCTCACCACTGCGCGACCGACGCACTCCGAGTTGATGAATCCAAGGCCCGTAGCCATGGAGTCAACATTGGGGGGGGGGGGGGGATCAAATCTTCCAGGGGATCTGGGCTCCCCCCCCCCCCCCAGAAAAAAATATATCTAAATTTGAAAAGATTTTCCTGCCATTTCCTGCATAAAATAAAAAACTAACACATAGGATGGACTTTTTATTTATTTTTTACAATAATGTCTTATAGTGTATTGTATTACATTCCTCTGATTTTTCTTTTTAACATTTTCTTGTTTCATTGTATGTAATGGCAGAGCTTAGGCATTTATAAAGTACAACCATAACCACAATCATATAAACATAAATCTATTTTATCGTGAGCCCGTAGGCCCAGGCAAGGTGGCTCACCCGTTAGTTAAATTTGTGAGAGGTCAAACTGAGTTTGGTGGAGTTCGTTTGGGACGAGTCTCTTAATTGCTGTATCTAAAACAAATGGCGTGTTCTGCGGAGTATACACTTTCACGGAAAATAAGACGCATCTCAAACGTGTGCCCAGTATCAATAAAGATATATAAATGTGGTCTCACACGCGCACGCACGCACGCGCATGTGTGCCCGATTATAAGACGCACCCAGAAGTTGTACTCTAAAAAACAGGCCTAACACGCACCCTCTAATTCGGAACAAATCATACGCGTAGTAATAAAGGTGACACGTGGTAGTGCTATCAGTGACACGTGTAGTGATATAGGTAACACGTGACATAAGTGACACGTGATATAAGTGACACGTGTAGTCCTT